AAACACATTGAAAGAATAATTTTACATTTATTGGACTGGCAAGATACATTATTTTCAGGAGATCTCAAAGAAATTGCTCACCAACAGATATCCTATGCCTCATGTTATATAAATTTAATTTTTTTTTTGAAAACTTTCCTTCGATATGAAGATTTAAACACTTTTTACTAGAGACCTTTTTTTAAAATTTGCATGAAGAAATTTGCATATTCTGATGGTTTTTTTTACCTGGAGACCCCCATCTTTACTTTGAGATCCCCCCCCATCTTTTACCTTGAGACCATCAATTTACACCTTTAGTAATATCTTTATTGACAAGTCTGTCCTTTGTTCTCTCTCTCTCCTTTAACACAAAATGCCCAGATCACATTTGACTAGGAAATGTCTGCCTATAAAGCCCTGAGAAGCTGTAGGACCTGGTCAAACATGCAAATGCAATATGCAGTGACATATACAAACTTTCATGCAGTCTTATTCAACACTACTCCGAGCACTGATGGATACATACAGAAACTGTGACATGAGTAGATCAAACAGCAGTATTTGGACAATTCTAGTTATTATTGTTTATTTAAATTTGTTCCTTCTCCAAGTGATAAAAAGTTTGTATTTGACACTTTATTCTTTCTAAAAGAAATCTGGATTTTCACTACTTTTGCCTAAGCATCGGAACTTATGATTTTGACAAGAAATATGAGTTTTTAAAAAAGGAAATTTTAACATTTTGGGAAAACCATGCTTAATGACAGCCCTTTTTTTGCTGGCATCCGTCCGTCACAATGTGACGATGGAGTGGGCTTTGGAGGACGAAATCCACATGGCCTGAGATTATTGTTCAAGGATTATAAGCTGGTTCCCAACAGCAAATCGCCTCTCTCCACGCCGCTGGATAATCCAAAGGAACATCATTGGATGATACAGCTTGGCACCAGTGACGTTGCAGGAGTTGTCGGAATGTTTCATTGTATCAATTTTATCCGCCTTTCAGGACTCCATCTCCAGGTTTGATGTCAGAGTTTCCTCTGGGTGCTGGGTGGCCGAGTGGTCTAAACTGAACAAATCTCAAGTTGGTGGTCTTGAGTTCAATTCCAGCCAGAGCCCGGTCAAGCAAAAACATCACCAGCACCCCGGGTGGATGGGACCCGTTAACCTTGGATGGGACCCGTTAACCTTGGATGGCAACTCATCTAAGAGAAGGAATGACAGCCTTATCATTCTTTAATTCACACAGTCAACCCGTTCTCAACTCCAAACTGAATTTAAATGAGATACTTGGCTGCACTTTAATTTTACCGTACCTTGATTTTTTAATACGCACAAGTTTGATCACATGACTAAATGACATTTCAAAGTAAAGCTATAGCTATCCACCTTCTGTTTCTAGGTTCTATCCTTAAGCAAGTGACAACATGGTCCCTCAGGGTAGGTCTTTTCTCACTCCGTTCTAGACGAGAAGTTTTCTCACTCCGTTCTAGATGAGAAGTTTTCTCACTCCGTTCTAGATGAGAAGTTTTCTCACTCTGTTCTAGACGAGAAGTTTTCTCACTCCGTTCTAGACGAGAAGTTTTCTCACTCTGTTCTAGACGAGAAGTTTTCTCACTCCGTTCTAGACAAGAAGTTTTCTCACTCCGTTCTAGACAAGAAGTTTTCTCACTCTGTTCTAGACGAGAAGTTTTCTCACTCCGATCTAGACGAGAAGTTTTCTCACGGGGCACATCCTTCCTAAACCCCAGCTTAAATAACTTTCCTCGTCATAAAGTCACGTGCAATAGTATTTTTATTCTCTGAAGGGGAATTCATCCCCGGGAAGTTATCTTCTTCAACATACCACATTTATATTGTTATATACAATGCTAAAAGAAAAACAAATTTTAAAAAAAAAATAATTAAAAAATCAAATACGTTGAGTAGTTGGTGCTTGGGTTAAGCCAGTTAAAAATGTCAATACATTGTTACTATGGTTGTGTATTTATTGGAATTTATAGAAGAAGTGTTGCCACATTAGGAGACAAATATTTTATCTTATGATTTTTTTTAAATTATTTTATTTGGTCTTAATTTTTAGATGTCTGTAAAATGCTTGAAATATTTATATAAATACTGAATGTCTGGATTGATCAAAGTTAACAGATTCAAATATCATTCATTTATTCCTTGGTTGTATGCTTGTCTATGCACCAAAAGTATTGTAGTAGTCCCACTGCCTAGGGCTGCCAATCTGTAAAAGTAACAGTCTCAAAGTTTATTGCTTTGACATGGAAAATAACATCCATTAACAACATATGTTGTAGCTATAAAGATGAACAAAATAAAAACTACAGAATATATATAGGTAACCTTTTTATTCATAACTTTCTAAATATATACATTTTTATAATAAACTGAAACCTTCCCATAATTCTCGCAGAAACTTATTCAATTGGTCGAGGCTAGCAGTTCTAGTTCCCTAACCTTTGCTCCATTAAACAGGTCAAAGGTTGGTACAATAGTATTAGTTTCCCCTGTGGAAATATAGTCATTGTGCGCTGCTGTCTGTGAATGATGTTGCAAGTGAGTTAACCAAAGATAACTTTATGCAAGAAGAGTGCAGCAAACTGCAATACAATGTACCATAATATCATAATGTGCTTTTCTTATTATGATTTAACAATTATCAAATGTGTTTGCTAATTTATTTTAAACTAAAACAGGTTCTTTTTGAAGATGTCTATTTTAATATACTTTGTTTACATTGAAATCACAAGCGTAGTCTTTCTTTTCTCATGTGCTGTATAATGCTGATATTGCATGTAAAAAATTTTACATGTGAAACTATCGATTTGAATGAACTTCAGAAAAAAGATACTTTTTTTGAGATGCTTATTTAACTTTTATCTGTTGTTTTAAGTCTAGAGCATTGCATGGCCAGAATAAATTTTTTTTTCCATTCTGGATTTAATTAGTTTGTAAAATTAAAGCTATTCTATTTTTGTGTAAATAGTATTAATTCCCAACTTCATTAGCTTTCCTCCATTCAAAGAAGAGCCGCCTCGTTGAGTTAGCCAGTTCATTCCACCCAACTGTTAACCCTTAAAAGACAACCTTGGATCAATACCAACTAGCTACGTCATGGTTGGAAAGTCAAGTAATGTTACCATTGCGCCTTATGGCTGACTATAAAATTTGTAAAATTACCATACCCTGAGTCATGTGAGCAGTTACTTCTCAAATACCAGGAATAACACCCCAAAAATTACTTCAACAATGCCCTGCCTAATATTACCGTGAAGATATGCCTAATACTAAACAATTAAATTTCCAACATCACCCTGCATATCAAATGTATGTGGGGAAGAAAATAGCCATCATTTTCAATTGAAGTGAAAGTAGACATGGGGGATTACCACACAGTGATCTAGACTTTATTTCAGGGATTGGCAACCTTTCATGAGGCTAGTCAGTGCTGCAGTTTATGAGTCACATGCTAGAAAGATATTTTGGTGGCACTGGCCAGTGCTCATTTATTGACTTGGTTGATGGGCTATGTATGACCAGTCAGGGTTGTTAAGGAAATGAGCCATTAATAATCTGCTATTAGTACTTTAGCTTATTTATGTATGTTTCTTTAAATTCAGCAAATATACTGGCTGATCAGACAGATGAGGTAAGGTCATAGAAATAATGTCAGCTCTGATAGATTGGTCAGAAATGTAAGGTCAGCACTGACAGAAGTACCTGAGACAAAGGTAGTTGACCCTTGCCTTTAGCCAATAATTTTTCTATTGTGATGTATTTACAAAATGAATATATTTGTATAAAATATAAATAAGTGAATGTGTTCATTTTTTTCTACTTCACTGTATTCGTGTTCCACGCCTGGGACATTTTGTCATGGAAAAATGACCTGTGATTGATACTTTTTTTGGTTTTGAACTATTTGTAATGTAATATTAGTTACATGCATTTCTTGCAGCATAAAGCTTGAAAGGGAATTTAAAAATAAATATATATATATATATACACATTTATATGCCTCTGGTGGTTTTTTTTGTTTCTATATTTGTTGTAAGTAAATTATGTAATAGGCTATGGTGTATCTTGGGTGTGGGTATGTTGGAATGTTGGACCGCACCAGGACCCATGCACATCAAGTCCCAACAATTTCAGGGGTGCGGGCCCCCTCCAAAGCTACACTGTGTCAGAAAGCAAGAATGAAAGCATAAAATCAAAAGGTTAAACAAAAGCAGATGGTGAGCAAAGCAAGTGATAAGTAACACCTTGAAAAAAGAACATGTAAAGTGTCTTTAGAACAAAATATTAACCTCCAGCTTATCTAACCCCAACTCTTTAAATACTTTTCTTAAAAAATAATATGAAGTTTATTGATTTTAAAAAAAAAAAAAAAATCATGCAGGGTTAAACTAATTTCGCCAGGGCCGTGCTGAGGATTTCTTTAAATACTTTTCTTAAAAAATAATATGAAGTTTATTTATTTTAAAAAAAAAAAAAATCATGCAGGGTTAAACTAATTTCGGCAGGGCCGTGCTGAGGATTATTGGGCTCGGAGCAAATCTAAACTTTAATTTCTCCCCACATTTCAAAATAGTTCTAACGTTTTAATTCCATCCTTGGGGGCCCCCATGTGGGCAGCGCTCCGGGTGATCTACTCTGTCGCCTCGGCCACTGCATTGCCAACTTAGGGCTATCTCGGCTATCTACAATCTATATAGTCGCCTGCCCCTAACCCCACCCCACAATGAATCGCCCTCTTTCAAGGTACTAATCACAGAGCTATATGTCTATGGTACTAATGGTAATAGACATAGAGCTTGTGGGTTTTATTTATATAATATAATACCCAGACTTCAGTCCTTACGAATTTGCGGAATTTTTACATAGTTTCAGTAAAAATAATTATTTACATATGAAAATTCTTAAATGACGAATATAGAAATTGTGCATTTCCATTGGCATTTAATTAACCAATCATTTGACGTAAACAAAATTAATACCTAGGAACTTTTCGTAATCATGGCGACATGAAAAATGGATACTAAAAACAAAATTTGATACTTACAGTACAGAGATGATTTAATATATGTAACACATCTAAGACTCGCCAACTCTTGAACAGATGGCTGCCATGGAGGTAAAATACTTTACAATTTGTAATTTTTACATAATCTTCCCCAAGAAGTTTTTTAAGGGGGTGTAATCACCAATATAATTAAATAAATCTATTTACTCTTTATTCTTATAAAGTTATAATTTATATATTTTGTTTCTGGTATGTTCTGCTTCCTTTTGACAAACGGAGCTCCCCTATTCTACATGTTTTATATTAATAGTAATGTGGGGGAGGGGGGGGGGAGAGAGCACTCATTCACTCATGCAGCGAGCATCATGCGTGAGGCGTGACGGTTGAACTCAGGTAGAAAGGTTGAATTTTTTCCTTTGGTATAGGTGACTATTATTATATTAATTAATAAATAGTAAAAAGAGCCACGGGTATGGTGTAGCACTGTCTGTGGATCTATTGTTTAAGGCTGCCGCTATTCGGACCCGGTATCAGAAGTGAGAGGTTGGGTTTATTAAAAAAATATCTAAAATATTATTGTAGGGTTTTTACAACAAATTAGATAAGATAAGATTCTTTTATTGATCCAAATAAATGGAAATGTTTTTTGATTGCATTATTATTATCATTATACATTTTCAGCACAAAAATAAAACAATTTGAACACAAGACATTTATAATAAATTATTTCAAACAGCCATTCAGTGAGTTCTCTTAGCAAAATCGGGGACTTATTAGTTCTCATTCAGATGTGTGACTTCAGAGGAAGCACGCCGGTAAATTCGCACAGATTGGGGAACAAAAGAATTTTTATATCGATCAGTCCTAGCCCTGATGGAAAGAATTCGTCCCGAATGGCCCGATCCTAAGTATCTAGGATGAAGAGGGTGGGATGTATCATCCAAAATGTGTTTAGTTTTGCAAAAACATCTTTCTTCAAATAGTTCTTCTAGTGAAGGATGTTTAGTTTGTGTTATGTTCCTAGCTTTCTTGATTAGTCGGTTTATGCGGTATTTAATATCAGACATATCAGACGTTGAATTCCTACACCAGCAGGTAATACTGAAATTAAGCAGGCTTCCAATAGTTGCATTGTAGAATAAGTTAACGACTTGTTTGTTTACGCCGAAATTGCACAGTTTTTTTGAGGTAGAGCAGTCTTTGATTGAATTTCTTATACAGCATTTGGCCGTGCTCATGCCATGTTAGCTTATTATTAATGGTGACATCTAAGTACTTGTACGCTTCCACTTTCTCCACATTTTGATTTTTTATGTTGAGATCTGTAATCAGGTGTTTCCCCCTCCTGAAATCAACAACCATTTCTTTTGTTTTTGAGACATTCAGCTGGAGAAAATTTTCATCGCACCAATTGATAAAGCTTGTAACTAAGTTGCGGTATAGGCCTTCTCCTTCAGATATTAAACCAACGATCGTGGTATCATCAGCAAATTTTAAGATTGGAACGGTGTCGCTTGAGCTTTGAATATCATTTGTATATATGGTATACAGTACAGGAGAGAGAACGCAGCCTTGTGGTGCCCCGGTGCTTATTTCTCTGGTTAGAGATAATTTAGAGGTTATTTACTTCGACTTATTGTGGTCGATTTGTTAAAAAGTTTAGTATCCAAGCCTGAATGTTTAAATTGACATCTAACGAGGAAAGTTTCTTTATCATAAGGTGTGGTTGGATGGTGTTAAATGCTGAACAAATGGTATCAAATGAAAGATAATTGAATGGTCTATTTGTTTATAAACTTAATTCTTCATTTTAACTAAAATAAACTACCACAAATGACATCCGAATAGCATTTAGTTCAAAGGAACCCGGGTGTTAAAATTGCAAAAAATAAATACTTTTTAATTATTTTTTTACGTAGGCCTATCCATTCAGTAAAAATTTAAAACTCACAGAAACCAAATCTCATCGTCTTTATTTCCTACATTTAACCAAGACACTTATGCAGCAAACAAAGGCCATAGTTTGAATAGAAAACAAATACAATATTATTTTTAATAGATCTTATTAATATGACTTATAATTCATGTATTGAAGACCATTCTTAGGTAACTTAAAAAATATTAATTATAGTGATTACAAAATTTTAATTTGTTTGGAGTGGTGAATAACATAAATTTTAAATTAAACGTCCCCACCCTCCTACTTTTTAGGGGTAAAGGAGCATAGTGTTCTTATAACAACCAATGGATAGTGGATTTTCTTTAGCAGTGGATTATATTACTCTTTTCTTTCTTTCTTTTTTTTTTTTGCAGGGCATTAAAAAGGATGCCAATCCCAAAGTTACAACAATACCTGGCTTATCATACATACCAGATAAGTTGGAAATCACTGAAAATCCGTAAGTGTTAATAACTATTTTATTGGAAGTTACCTTGGATTTTTATATGATAAATAGTCTATTTCTTCCTGTATATCGAATGGATTAAGTATTTCTAGAAAAGGCAATGGTAATAATTTTAGATATTTTGTTTTTCAACTCAGATCCGCTTTTATTGTTCTAGTTTTATCTTTCCATATATCAGAAGCACAAAAATTGTATTAACCTTTTCCATCCACAACTTTGTTTTTAAAGGGCTTTAATGCTAAAAATAGAAGCTGAATTTCTAGACTTTGTTGTGTGCTTAACTGATATCTTGAAACTTCTACATCTCATTAAACCCAAACATCTACGATCATTGGTGAGACCTTAATTTTAATAATTGTGTGACTATTTTAAATGTTATTTTAATTTATTTTAATACACGATGAAAGCAATTGATTTTGTTACCAAAATTATAGATTTTGGAAGTCGCACAGATAACACCCGATTGCTTTGAGTGTCTAATTGATATTTTTATAGCATTTTATCGTTCCTACTTTCATACTATTAGGCTATACTAGAACTAGAAATGTGTCCCACTATTTCAGAATCGTACCTTTATTTAATTGAAGTGTTAAAAAGATCTGCTGAATTGAGAATAGTACTTAGATATTTCAACTACAGTGTAGACTTTCTAGTAGTAATTGATATCAACTATTTGTATAATAAAATAAATGCATAATGGTGCGTAAAATAATTCTTTATTCTCTGAAGTATTTTTAAAAAACTGCTAAAGTTTGTTTATCTTCTGCCCTAATAAATATATGCAGTCTATAGGGGCCATCTATAAAGTATGTCATGCTCAGTAGGGGGGATGGGGGTCTAAGAAAGGGTGATGATAGTTTGTGATTTGGGGGGGGGGGGGGGTAATGTCATATTTTGTATCATGCCTATAAAAGCTGAAATTGACAGTGATGTTTAACTTTCTGTCTGCTGGATGACTGTATTCCGACAGAATATCTCACTTCATATTTTTTTTTAATTAGTTGTTATTTTTATGAAAACATTTGTTTAATTTGGAAATCTGACATACTTTAGGGGGGGATGGTCCAAAATTGTTGACTTAGGGAGGGGGTGGAAATTGCAAAAATAGCTTGACATACTTAACGGACTGCCCCATATCCAGTTATCAATCTAGCTGACAAAGTAACTAACTGTTTTCTATAACATACCATGTGAAATATTTACTTCTAAAAATAATGTCTTACAATCCTCATGTCATGTGAATACAATATCAAATTATTCAATTTAAAATTAAAAATCGTTTCCAAATTTTTAGAATCCAATACCTCACAGTGTCATTCGTGAAGTTAGAGTGTTTGGCAGTAAGGGTCCTCTTTATAAAAAATACGACAAGTGAGTGAATTAAACAAAAGGGCATTACTAAAATAGTCATTCAACAGAAAAATTAAGGTTGCAAAAAGGGGGGGGGGGGGGGGGGGTTATTTTTTTTGTCTCACATTGTTTAGTAAATATCTTATATCCACCCTTTTGCAAGACGATGTAATGATAGCTAATAGCTATACTCTTTCCAAGGATTTAAATAAAATCAGAGATGTAAACAGTTTGAAATATACATGTATAAATAACTCATGGAAGAATAAGATAATTAATTAATAGGACACAATAGAAGCATGTTCATTTTTTAATTTTTTTTTATTCAGGCACACCAGTGGGGCCATTGCTGGGATCTCTGCATCAGCTGACAATCTGTTTAAGCGAGGCATGAGTCAAGCTAGTGGAATGGTATCCAAAACTAAACCTGTGCTGTAAGTATTTTTTTTTCATTTAAAATCTTTACACTCTCATTGTTATAGACCTATGCAATCTTTAAGTTATGTATTTTTATTGAGCTGTTTTCATATTTTAAATTTAAGTATTTTTTATGAAGCTTAGTAACTATTGTCATAATCTCAAGATAAGCATTTTAACAATCACTATATGAGGAATTCCTGCTTTCTAGTTAAACCATGATACTAAATTATCTTTTAAGAAAAAAAGAAGGCTTTAGAAAAAAACCTTTAGAATCTGACTTGGTTGAGATCACTGGCAAAAAAACAAAACCCTTGTGGCACTCTGTGGCCCTTGACCGACCTCCAGATCCACTGCTTCTAAGTTTACTGTAAGTATGCTTTCTTTGTTCAAATTTAACAGAAAAAAATATTGATATTGATGAACAGTTTTTAACCAAAATTTATTGTGTATATTGACAGCCTTTGAAAAATTTAATACAAGCTCAGATTTGTATGAAAATGGTTAGCTAGCTTTTATATTGCAATGTATTTTATCAAACTCTGATGTCTTTTGGTTTATAACTCGACCTTGGATTCTGTCTAAGAAAATTAAAATATATTAATCAACAATTCCCCCCCACCACTTTTTTTTTTTACATTTAAAAAAAATACTTTATATTAACTTAGCTTTTGTTTGTGTGTTTCTGGCTGGGTGGCCAAATCTTTGGACAGCTAATTGATCCATTTACCATCAATCTATCTGAGTCCATCAAGCTTAAACTAACCACATAGACTCGTTGCCAAAAACAACACATTCTTTTAAATTTTCAGTGCGACCCCCAACACAAAAAATCAGTTTTTCCTGTTTCTCAAGGGGAAGATGAAGGAAATATGATGCAACTGATTTCACGAAATAAAATTCCTGCGTTAAATGGGATTCTTTTAAAAAATATCACAAGTGCATTTGATCCATAATATTGTCTTTTGTTTTTCTGAAATAGTTGCTAAAATAAATTTGCAGTGCAAAAGAATGTTAAAAAAAATAATAAATAATTAATTCATAGAAAGGATTTGTACAAAAAAAACATTGTTTTTAGGGGTTGTTTAATTTGTCTCAAAATTAATTATTTTGTTTAAAATCTTCAATCGGCTCATGCTAGAAGTACTGTCTTCACAAAGAGGAGGTAATAAAATAAAAGTTAAACAACAATACCTATCATGCTGCGGGACATTATTTTGCAAGGACATAATGCTATTATTTTTCTGACCCAGAGAAGAGAGGGTGGAAAATGTCCTGGATGAAGGGGCAAATATCAAGATTCAGAGAGATATCATCAACAAAAAAAATATCCCCGTCACAAGGTAAACCTGTATTCAGTCTGAGTCATGATTTATCTGCAACCATTAATGAATTTATAGCCTTTGTCTATTCTGACAATACTTATCTACACGTTAAGGCTCAATTCTGTTACACAATTTTCAAATCTACTTATATCCATGAGCTTATATTCCTTTTGCCATTCTTACATTAACCTTCATCTTGAATTTTCTTTTAGAACCAAATCGGAGACCATGGTCATCGCCATCAAATACTTAATGCAGACGCCCGTCCGCACTAAGGATGGACGCTTTCAAGACCAGATGGACATGATGGCTGCTGCCGATGCTGGTTTTAAATCTGTTGAAGCTTACAAGATATATTTGGATACTCTGCGGCCTCATTGGTGAGATGATTCAAACTGGAAGTGATTGTGATATTTATGTTTTCTTATCTCATCCTGACCTTTATATTAACCACTTTCCTGACAATGATTTATATAGAAACCTACACCTAGATTTATGGTTAGAAACAAAAATTAAGTTCTTGTCAACACAACTGCAGAGAATAAACAAACACTAACATATTTTTTCCTATGAATATTTCAATATTTAGTTTACAAAGCATTCAATTAAAATGGTTTCTTATATTTCTGCATCCATGAGACATTCTCTCTTAGATTAGCCTCTGATTTTTTAAAAAGATTTGGAACAATAGTTACTATCACTATTTTAATATCATATAATTATGATGATACATTTTATTTAATTATTTGAACAGGTACAAAGATTTACTCAAAGATAGCATCCAAACTGGCACCTTCAGCTCCAAAGAAGTCTTGTTGGCCTTTGAAGAACTTGGCCATTTCTATTATATGGATGAAAACTCTTTGGTCCTAGCCAAAGTACGGTTCAATATCTAATTTGGTTTTGGTCTTGAAATTTGACATTATACAAGTCATTAATTTTTATTCTAGATCGTTTTAAAATAAAGAAGAAATTGTCTCCAAAAAAGGTAGATCTGGGTTTAAACATTTGATCAGTCTTTTCAAACTTGAACCATATTATTGCAAGTCTAGGATATAATTTATTTAAGTTTCAAAAAATCTGTAGGACTATTATAGTGGGCAATTAATCACCAGGACACCAGTGGATCAGCTCTCAAGTAACGGGAGCAACAGAGTTCTTCAAAAGTGCAAATATGTTTATTTGGATCTGTACACTTGAGCAATGCCTCGGACATGTTCATCATCACACCAGTCATGCTAATTCACTGTCCTTTCAATAGTACCAAAGTGAGAGAGAAAGCAATATACACTTGACATCAGTTCATGTAACCCATCCAATCTTCTCAATGCCCCTCTCATCTCATTCATTGTTTTCCCTCCAACTCTCTCCGTCATTGCTTGCCCACACAAGTTTTTCACTTAATGCATACTTTACTCCTACTTGAACGCTCACCCCACCCCAGTCACTGAAACATTTCATCAGTGAAGTATTTTATTCATTGTTAATTACACTTGACCACTTATTGCCTCTGATTTCGATCATTGTGTTTAGGCCAAGCTCTGTTACCTTGTCATGTCTCTGCCAATTTGGGACATTGGCCGTCTGCAAGTTCAGCGAGTTGTGGATGTAAGTGTTTTTTTTTATGGATTATGATTTAATTTATTTACTTTAGACTTGTTATAGACACAAAAATGTTCATGACACATTTCTTAACCCAATTGATTCATTTTTTGGGATATTTCTAAGTCTCTGTAAGAAATTAACAGTTTCTGAAATATGGCTTTATTGATTTCTTTAAAAACTTCCTTGTCCCCCTTAATTTACTTACTTGTTTTTAAATAGTATGGACATCTTGGTCTCTCTCTCCAGTTTATCTTGTACAACATACTGAAAGAGCCAAGGCAAAAGAACATTTTAGAGGAATGGCTGTCTATGCGTAAACTCCCCTACGTGGTTCACCCACCTATTAGATCAGATGACCTCTTGGCCATGAATGAAGTGTCAGACTTGAAAATCCAGCCCATTCTGCAGACCCAACAAGAATCCACCAGTGAGCAGGGACGGTCCTCTCAGATGATTAAAGACCAAGAATCACTCCATGAATTGGTGCAGAGGAAAGAATTTCTTCTGAAAGCTGGGGCAAAGAAAGGTTCAATACAAAAAGCCAAACCTAAGAAAATGGGGCAATAGCTCCCTATGACCAAAAAAAACTACTAAATGGGTATCAGATGGCCTTTTGATTAAATATTTGATGGCCAATCAAGAAGAGGTTTGAATTGAAACTGTTAAGGGAATTTAGGTATTTTTAAGTAATTGTTTTTAATCCAAATGCAGTGAGTAATTATTATATTTATATTTTTTATATATAATGTATTTACTATCATCAGATGGTCAGTTGGGTAATTTCATATTTTCACAAATATTAAGGTACAAAAATAATTTATGTAAGATAATTAATTTAGATAAGTTTATTCAGTTTTGAAGACGCTCCAGTTTTTACTTAAATTTAATGTGGATATAAATATGTATATAGGTAATATATCTATCATAATTTTCTATTGTGGTTAAAAATATTTAGCCAATAAATGACTTTAAATTTTTTAGCAGGATCTAATTAAAATATATGTTTAAGAATGTTCTCAGGAACAAATTTGTAAGTTTGGCTTAAAAATCTTTTATTTACAGACTTCAGAGCTGGGGTTGGCAACCTATTGCACATAAGCAGTCTGCTAAAACATACCATTTATCTAAATAAAATTAATGTTCTCTAAAATAATATTGGCTCGTATTTAATCTATAGTCCTGATTATAAATGTATCATTTAATACCATTTATTTCCATTGTGAACAGAATATTTCCCTCAGGCTTTCTCTTCACTTATGAATGCCGGTATCTAAAACTTTTTTTTTTTTTTTTTTTTTTATTGAGATGAAACTTACTAATTTTTTAGTATTAAATCCATTTAAATATTTACCAAATATTAATAATGCATCTTGACAATCCATGGGTTAATTTGCACTTTTGACACCATGTCTGTGAACTCCATGTCTGTGCTTTGTTTATAGGTTCAAAATTATTTTTAAAAATGTGTTTTGCCAATATAATTTACATACAATCATACAGTTTTTAAAAAGATTTTTACACAATTGTTCAATTTTACTCATAAATTTATTCATTTACCATGTATTTCAAATAAATATTTTTTATTTACAAAATGCTTCCTTTTATTCTGTTATTTGAATCTTAAGATCACGGAAAAGCATGTTCTAAACTGACAACAGAAAGGAGATTTCTTTTTACCAAATTATGAGTCAGTTTTCTAAGGGGCGCAATAGCCTTAGAAATATAAGAGCTTCGAAAGTGCAAATATTAGTTATATAAAATTTACAGATAAATCCTGACTGCTTCTCTATCCATGTATAGCTGTGTAGAGAGTTATGCCTCACATCATAAGTAACTTATATAAATAATTCATTCTAAAATGAATTGTCATCTTTTATTCTAGAGGTTTTAAACTAGTCATATATAAGGCTGTTTCTGCTGTCATTAACTCTGCCACTGATTTGATCTCCTGTCACTTATGGATTTTAAAAAACTTAAATGATTTATTTTAAATATTAAAATCCCTCACAACATATAATTAGAATTGGAAGATTTTAAAACTATGTTTTATTACAATACTAAATATAAAACAAAAGGACATCCATTTGTTACAGCTAGGTCCCAGTATAGGTTATAATAATACTAAGCCATAAGCCTAACTGGAAAAACAAAGAAAATTTAATTTTAAACAAAGGAGCAAACGCTGAAAGTAGCTATCATTTTATTACAAGAACATTTATAAAAATAAATGACAATGTATTTATATCTACAAGTTACAAGGGAGATTCAACAATAAATATGGAAAGTAATTTTTTTAAAATAAAAAATATATTTCGTTGTTATAAATAAATTTTAAACTACAGACAATATGGATTGGATAAATAATTCAAAACATTTGGAAGATGTAATGATGTTTCGTTGGCATTGGTTCAGATCTAGTTTTTTCAAAACATCGTTCAGTAGATATATGAGTATTACATAATCTCAACAGCTCAAAAACCATTTTGCATAATAATTACAAATATAACAAAAAAATTCAAAGAAATAAATCCACCAGTGATTCCTTTAAAAAAGAAATACACATTAAAACTAAATAAACAACTGTAAAAAACATTTCAGTAATCTCATTAGGAATTCTTCAGCTGAAGAAACATGAATATAACCTTATAGATAATTTTTTAAAATTCCTTATTATTGATCGGCATAATGTTAAGAGTATTCTCATCTTTGACTAATTATCAACAACTGAAGATTGTAGATTTTTATTTTTCATTAATACACTTCTTGGGGAGTTGCATCAGACAGAAATAATTTATTCAATCTTTTTACATCATAATACAGTGAGGCATCTGCTTTGCTTATTGCTGGTTAGCTATGCTAAGTTACTGATGTTGAAAAAAATAATATTTACCCCTTTTAAAAATTGCATTTCTTTTGTTATCAAGTTAAAGTTTTTGTTTTACTTAATCATCATTGGATTGAAATCATTAGTATGTCAGCTCGTATTCAGACTTACTTAATCATCATTGGATTGAAATCAGTATAATGCCAGTTGGTGTACAGACTCATCAGAACAAAAAAGTCCTAACCAGTTGTCTCCAGTAGCGTACACAGCATTTCCCAAAATTTGAAGTTTGGCGCACCGGTGCACAAGTTCACCAGGGACCAGTAGTGCGTGATTTATTAATTACATATATCCCCTCCACCCCACCCCCAATAAATATTGATGTTCTGTGGACCGGCAACTTGAGGCTCGTGGACCGGTGCCGGTTCACAGACCACCATTAGGGGAACACTGATCTAAGGCACTTTAGCTATGAGATTATTGACTACTATATCAAAAGAGATAACTGTGAATATAATCACAATACAAAAAGGCTCTAACTCAGACAATAAAAGATACTACCTTAAGTTGTAGAAACATTCTTAATATTATTTTCAATGAACACAGATTTTTTTTGGCTAAAATCTGAAACTCTTTTAACAACTTAAAATAAAATTCTTCAAATGCAAAATTTGATTGTATAAAAAATATTGCGAGGCACAAAAAGCCTTTAAGTAAAAGTATTACGCCAGAATTAGGAAAATGAGAAGTACCGAGATCATAAACACAACTTGTAAGTTATACCTCTCATTACCTTCATCTCAGCAATCAACAATGAGATGTTCTTCATTTTACACTGTTCTCCGAGTAGTATATAAATTATGTATTTGATATTATAATTAAAAAACAGAGTATTTCAAACAAAAGAGCCACTAGTCCCATATGAACTACTCTGTCTGTAAGGTTTAAGGTAGTTTAAAAACTTAGGTTTAAGTTTTAAAATAATCCCACCTGATTCTTTCACCACTATTACATGCTCATTTATGTATGTATGACAATGCTAGGAACAAATTCAGTACTAATAATATATGTACTATTATTATTTCATTCTTGACCCTTGTAATGCAATCCTTTTCTCAGCAGTAATTCTGATTATGCATGGGTATTGATAAAAGTATAATTAAATTGTTAAAAATAAGATGCTTTGCATTCTCATACAAATAGTAGTAATTCATATTTACATCAACAATTGTTAATATATTGCATAGTTATTTTAAATAATTCATATAAAATATAGTTAACAGTATGTAAAATGCTTTTCTTTCAGATCTCCAATACAAGGCACAAAATGACATATTTACATAAATATAACATTTAAGAAAATGGGTTATAATTTTGTATAGAAATGGAAGTTAGGAAGGTAAAAAGGGTTTATTCATCCTGATTTGACATATTCTTGTATTTTATTATAATTGGTAAGAAATTGATGAAAGTTGAACTGATAAATTTACAATGGTAAAAGCTAAGATAGTCTTAAAGTGTTGCAAGTTTTGGAATCAAATTAAAATGTATCCATCGGTGGCAGAGTATGTAAGGCACAGGGCAAGAAAACAATTGCTGTTTAGTTCAGATCTAAGGAACAATAAATGTTAACATATATATATATATATATATTATATATATATGCTACATTAATTTAACTATTCCAAAACAGTTGATTGCATATCCATAATAGAATTCATTGTCATAGACAATAGGAAAATGATGAGTTTAGGCAATATCACTAACATTATAATTCTCATAATAAGCATCCTGATTGATATCCTGCTGCAGGTAAAAATTAAAAGTATCAACAGGAAAAACTTGAATTTCTGGTCTGGATGGAATCAAGAAAAAATGCCAGCACATTCATGATTATGTTAAAAAAAATACTGTGGATGATTATGCAGAAATATATTCAATGTCATGGTCATCCAGATCGAAGGTGGAATTCAAATATGCCTGATTGGGTCTCCTCATTTCTCTTTCTCGCTGCCTCTCTCGCAACATTCTCCTTTCCTGATTCTTCCCCCCATATTTGTTGGTCATTTTCTGACCGGACGGATAGTATGGGTAATCCCCCCACTGGTCACTAAACTGGGGCCCGGCACTATGCCCCCACTGGTCACTCATATCTGGCCTGACATTATGTCCCCACTGGCCCCTTACCTTCGGACGGGCACCTGACATTTGCAGACTTGAAACGCCCATGCGAGGCTCAGCCCTGTCCGCTCCTGTCATGTACGGATATGATGGATACATGTCTTTCATATAAGGATTATTCCCTGGAGGCATTGGCGGGTAAACACTGCCCATATACGGGTGAAGTCCTCCCATAAAACCATTGCCCCTGTTCATAAAAGCGCTTCCTCCTGCCATGAAAGCGCTCGGCCCGCCGCCCTCAGATCCAGAGCTAGAGCCACTCTTTCCTAACAGCACGCCCCAGTTTCCTCCCGAGATATCGGCCATCAGTGAATGCAACGGGATAACCCCTTCTTTAATCTGGTGTGTTTCGAAACTGATTTTCTGACTCTTGCGTCTGCTTGTCGACACAGATGAGATTTGGTTCTTCCCTTTGGCCTCCATCTGAGACGTAGTGTGCTGCTTGGATGCAGGATACTGGGAAGCAGGCTTTGAACTGACAGGATGAGAGACAGGAATCTGCTGTTGCTGCATGAGATTATCCCCACTGTGCTCTGAGATTATACTTTCTGCCGGGGCACCAGGTAGAGGAGGGTCAGCATTCGAATGAATAGGGGCACCAGGTAGAGGAGGGTCAGCATTCGAATGAATATCTGCCTCAACATTGTCTCTGGTTTTAAATGCTTGGCCAAGCCCAGACTGTACACTCTTCTTGGCTGAGAAAATTGAGTAGTTTGTCTCTTTCTTGACAGGACCCAATTCCAGATAGGGTGCTATTCTAGATGGTGATTTTAATGGCGGTTTGTGTTCTCCTGTTTTTGTCACTGCTGGCAGCACCGTGTCGGGTGGAATATTTGACTGAAGGGAGATGGTCTCAATGCTGTTTCTTTCCATGGACACCCTGACACTTGGGCCTGACATTTGGCTGAGTGCAGAAGAATCGCTTCCTTTCCTGGATTTGCCCAATCTGCCTCCAAATTTCAGTCCCGACAACATAGAGGGCCTGACTCTGTTCAGTTTTCCCCTTTTCTTCTTCTTCTTGTTTCTTCTGCCGGGCAACTCATCTCGCTCGATAATAAAAAACTGCCTCTCTCGAAACTCAATCAATGACTCCCGGGAAACTCTTCTGGTAGAAATAACAGATTGGACATCTGCAACAAAAGAAAAATAATCCAAGCTAAAATTCTTTAGATTTATCATAAAAGAAGGAAAATAATGGACTAAATTTGGAGATTTCTTTTTATGTTTAAGAATTTAAGAGTATTATTTTATGAAACATACACAGTCAATTGGTAAATGAAACTGGTAAACAGAATGGTAAATTTTCCTCAATATCCCCCAAGTGGGCTTCTGACCTGAGTCTGAGTACCCATTCCAACAACTGGAAATATAAATCTACCCTGCCTACAGACCAACTCTCACCTGAGTATCTCATGTCCACCCCTTCTACAGACCATCTCTCACCTGACTATCTCCTACCCACCCACCCCTTCTACAGACCAAATCTCATCTGAATCTGAATACCTCCTACCCATTCCAGCAACAGGAAATATCAGGTGAGTATCTCCTGCCAACCCATTATACAGACCAACTCTCACGACCCACTCTCACCAAAGTATCTCTTGCCCCCCCCCCCTCTTTTCTACAGACCAACTCTCACCCGATGAGTATCTCCTGCCAACCCATTATACAGACCAACCCTCACGACCCACCCTCCCCAAAGTATCCCTTGCCCCCCCCCCCTCTTTTCTACAGACCAACTCTCACCCGAGTATCTCATGCCCAACCCTCGTACAGACCAACTCTCACCCGAGTATCTCCTGCCCAACCCTTGTACAGACCAACTCTCACCTGAGTATCTCACGCCCACCCTTCTTCAGACAAACTCTCACCTGATTATCTCCTACCCACCCACCCCTTCTACAGACCAACTCTCACCTGAATCTGAGTACCTCCTACCCATTCCAGCAACAGGAAATATCAGGTGAGTATCTTCTGCCAACCCATTGTACAGACCAACTCTCACGACCCACTTTCACCGAAGTATCTTCCCGTCACCCTTGCTACAGACCAACTCTCACCTGAGTCTGAATACCTCCTGCCCATTCCAGCAACAGGAAATATCAATCCTCCCCGCCTACAGACCAACTTGGGCATGGCCATCGCAAAATTGGAGGACAGTTCATCATCGCTGGCACTGTTGAGGTCAAACTTCATTCCTATTTGTTCATAGTTGAGATGGAAATCAAGTTGTTACAATATGATATCACAAATAAATATCCAAAATAATAATAGGGTACTTTACGTAGACTAACAACTCATCAGTCTAAAAGCGTTGGAAGGAACATTGATTTATTTGATAGTAAAATATATGTATTTTAAATATTTATATAATTCTGGGTTGGAATTTTAACCATTTTAATACAAAAATACAAAATTAATCAAATCTGATATTCAATTTTAAATTTAATTACAGTACACCTCTAGAAATAGGAATAAAAAGAAATAGTCTAATGGTCATATTATGAGAGGTTTTTCCCCTGGAAAACTATATCTTGGTGCCATTTTCTGGCATAAGTTTGTCAATTAATGATTAAATACAGCATTTATAGGTGTGGCATGTCAAAGGTCTCAGTATGATATCAATTATAAAGAACTATAGACTATATTCATTTTAAAACCATGCCCCTCCCACTTTGTTACCATTCTCTTTATATTTCCATGAACCAAGTATTATCTTTTAGTTACATGTTGTTTTTTTTCAAAAGATAGCAAAAAATAAATAACATTATTATTTACCCAAGGGATCATCGTGTGAGCTCCTGTAGCTGATGGATACTCTCCCTTGGTTGATCTCCTTCCTTTTCTCAAAAGCCTGGGCAATCATTCGGTGCCGTTTTAACTTGACTGGTTTGTTGGACGGCTTATGAAATATCCTATCAAATATGGAGTAAAATGTGGCCACATTTTTGAGTACTTTCTCTAATCAATCCAGCAAAATGTTACAACTGTCCTTTGCAATTTATCACTGAATAAAGGACAAAGCCTGACAGAAATGTTACAACAATACTAAAGTTTCAAAATAAAAACAATTTAAACATTAAAAAGACTCACCATCTGAAGAACCTCTCCCAGGCTGAAAGAGAAGCTTTGGTCCAAGACCAGGAACTCATGGCAATACCGGCACCAAAAAATGCAAAAATGTGAATCTCCATGGCAACAAGACTAGGTCGATCTTTGATGACGCAGGTTGATTCTGTGTCTCCATGATAAACTGTCACTGACACATTGGCAACACAGCTGGTGAATTAAAAATATCACTACAATTATTAACACCTGAAATTATTTAACATTTGTAAAAAGCTTTTTAAACATAAATGTTATTATTGTTATTATTAGTGGTTTTATATAGCGCAGTACCCCAGCCTAGGGCTGGGCCAGTGGCGTAGCTAGGGTCATCTGCGCCCGGGGACATGACACAAAATCTGCGCCCCTTCTCAGACCGACAGAGTCTGGGGGCTCAGTCTGAGCCCCCAAGAAAATTTTGAAATTTTACGGTTTATATGGTTCATTTTCAAAGCATCTGGTATTTTAATGAAATAGAATACAGACTAATAATTCTCTATACGATTGTAAACAATTTATTTGAAAATATATATATATACACTACTAATTGTACATGACTGGAATAGACATAGTCTACAACAAATTGAAACTCGTCTATCACTTTGTCAAAATTAATGTTCTCAAGTGTTTCTCTTTAGATGCTAAGAAGTGCAAGATCACTCAGACGATCTTGTCCCATTGAAGACAAAATAAGCTTCATTTTACTGAAGGACCGCTCACAGCTTGTAATTGAAGCAATTTGCAGTGAAATGCGCAGATTCGGAAATACGCCATCTCCATATGAAACAATAAAACCAAGAAGATCCAAAAGAGTTTCCGGTAGAACTGCAGTTCCGGTACTGAGCAGCATTTTGCAGTCTCCGATTTCTGTGCACAATTCGTGACCATTGATGTCAGTGTCATAGAAATTTCCAAAATCAAAGCAATTTTGACGAAGTGTATCGACATTTGTATCAGCGAGAAGATTATTGACGTCTAGTAAAAATCCAAATTTAGTGTTTAGCTTTTTTAGACGTAAAAACCGTATTGATATCTCCTGTTGGAGTTTATCAATTACGCTGTTCATATCACGTGCAATTTCTTCTTCTGCCGAAAATCCTGCATCTCTTGCTAATTCTCCAGACATCCTCCGATGTCATCTAATCCTTCTGTAAACCTCAATTGCCCAGGTTGTGCATCTTGTTTTTCAATTGTCTACCACAAACTGGCTCAAATTATCACGAATGTTGACAAGTTCTTGCTCCAGCGATTCAAGTTCAGATGCTTCTTCCTTGAAATTCACAGTAGGATCCTGCAACCGTTTCTGGACACTATCAATTTATGAAGTATGATATTCCAGAAATGTAACAAAACTAGGAAGTTAAAGTTTAATATACCGGCCAGCAAAGTTTCTGTATCACTTCTGGTTTCAGGCATCATAGTTGCATCTTTTGATAATTGTTCCAACAGCCCTACTAGTTCATCTAGTCCTTCATAAATAGTTTTAACAGCTTCTAATCGTGCACTCCAGCGTGTTTCAGACTCCCTCTTCACCTTGATTGGCACAACTCTTTTTAATTCTTCCCAACGAGTTGTTGAACGAGAGAAAAACAAATATATACTTTCAACTGTTCCAAAAATATGATAACAACTGGATCCTGTTTAGCTGAGTGTACTCCTGCTAAGTTTAAGCTGTGGTTGTCACAGTTGACAAACAATGCTCTGTGATTTTTGGCACATATTCGCTATTGAAGGCAGGATGTATGCCCAGTCAGTACCGCAGCATTGTCATGACATTGTGACCGACAGTCGGCTAGAGGTATGTTATCAGATTCCAGTTTCTCTACGATAACTCTTTCAAGGCTTGCTGCGTCTTTGGAATGTATCTGAACAAAACCTAAAAATGATTCTTTGATGGTTACTTTTTTAGTTTGAAAATTCACATCCCCAAATCTGATGACTGAGAAAGCTGTTCCCGGTGTCCTAGATCGGGTGTTGAGTCAAGTAAGATACCGTAGTAATTGTTTTTTCTGATTTCACTCAATAGCTGATTCCTTACAGTCGATGCAAGTAGGTGGATAAATTCATTTTGGATTTCCGGTGAAAAATAAGATACTGGACCTGGATTTTCTCGGGCATGTTGTAGGTTTTTTCTAACAGTGGATCATACTGAGCAACGAGTTTGATCACAGAGAGAAAGTTTCCAACATTTTATACTGTTTTATACTGTGGGAAGTGAGAGAAAGCTACAGACTATTTTAAATGAGACGAATACTTGTTATCTATCTTTCTCTTTTCAACTTATGTTAAGTATTATTCTATCTTCCTTGCACTCAGGTAAAATCCTATATTGGAATCGAAATTATCCAACATGTATAATTTTTAAAACCACATGCCACTTTCAGTATATGAAAAATAATATTTGAACCCGAACTGATCTTTGTTTTTCAAAAAAACGCCATCAGCAATCCTACATTGTGGATGTGTCATTTGTTTATGAATAGAATGGGGCCCCTTAATGCTCAATGGGGCGCAAAAAATCATGCTTGCCAACTGGTTTGTAATGAAGATATTTGTGGAGCTCCAAAATTCAATCTTGCAAACGTATTTGGGATACATTAGTTTACATCAAAATAAAATTAAATAATTAGTTTTAATACTCATTATTAGTTTAACACAAAATAAAATTAAATAATTAGTTTTAATACCCATTTTGGCCCCCCCTAACACATATCCCCCCCCTGCCCCCCCCCCCCTAGCTAAGCCACTGGGCTGGGCTCACCATGCAGTACATACAATTTAAAAAATATAATCATGAACTTAAAAATTAACATACATTGATTAAATAAAACAAAACAAATGTATTTTCACTCCACCCATTCCATAACTATTTATATGTCAAGCCATGGACGGCACCCAGCAGCATCGTTTTATCGGTTAGAGGGGGGAATCAGTCAGGATAGTAGAGTTTAAAGAGATGTGTTTTGAGTGCAGTTTTGAAGGCTGTGATGGTTGGTATATTGCAGATGTGTAGTGGAAGAGAATTCCATTGTTTGGGGTCACAGAAAGAGAAAGATCGTTCACCGTATGTTTTTGTGCGAGTCTTGGAAACAGAATACTATCTGAAAAGAGCAATAAATCCCAGCTAAAAAATGTATACATTGACTCAGAAATACTAAATATACTTTCTAAAACTTGATCTCCATCTGTCTTCATTGGCAAAAATGTAAACATGGACAGAGAAAGTAATAAATGCAAATGTCAAGGCCACAGAGAAATACTCACTACATATATTCTCTAAAACTTGATCTCCATCTGTCTTCATTGGCAAAAATGTAAACATAGACAGAGAAAGTAATAAATGCAAACGTCAAGGCCACAGAGAAATACTCACTACATATATTCTCTAAAACTTGATCTCCATCTGTCTTCATTGGCAAAAATGTAAACATAGACAGAGAAAGTAATAAATGCAAACGTCAAGGCCACAGAGAAATACTCACTACATATATTCTCTAAAACTTGATCTCCATCTGTCTTCATTGGCAAAAATGTAAACATAGACAGAGAAAGTAATAAATGCAAACGTCAAGGCCACAGAGAAATACTCACTACATATATTCTCTAAAACTTGATCTCCATCTGTCTTCATTGGCAAAAATGTAAACATGGACAGAGAAAGTAATAAATGCAAATGTCAAGGCCACCGCCGTGAAGATCCCTGAAAACAAACCAACAATGAATTTATTGAGTGGTTTTGTTTCAACAGATAGTTTACATTTAATCCCCGTCTCCAAGATTTCACATTAAAGTCAAAGTCATTAAGGAAGTGAAGTTTTATGAAATATGATGCCTGATTTTTAGCGATTATAGAAATGCTTTAAATGTTTTATGTTAAATTGTTCTGGTTTAAAATTTTTAAATTTATCAGAATGTTTACCAGCATGTTTAAAATGAACGTGTATAATGTAATCACATTTCCATTTTTTTGGATCAATACAAGAATTTTATCTAATCCTATCTTATCAATTTTGGTTTTATAAATGTAAAAAATTTTTTTAATCCTGGCAAATTTATGTGAAATGAAGAAAGGGACTTACCAAGTCTCAGGATTGTGTCTCGAATTTTAGAGAAAGTCTTTTCAGGTATAAAAACAGGAGCTTCTTTTTTTATCTTCAGTAATGTATAGACACCTACAATATATACAGTCACGTCAGTTTTTTTAATGTTGTTTTTATTAACTTAAGTTATCAGTCTACCAATTATTGTGATATAGAAGGCAAAATATGATCTGTCTTTTATAAATTACAATCAAGTCAGAACTAAAATAAAATGGAATTCACTATAGATATATAAGGTTCTTTAGTTGAGCTTCATAGCTGATGTCAGGGTTTCTCTTTTTAAAACAAAATTCCCTACATTTCCCCAACTTTCCTAACTAAAAAAAAATTCCTGACTATTGCAACGCAGCGTTTTTGTTGATAATGTAAAGCATGAAATTGTAAAAGTAAAAACATTGAAAGTCAACACAAATGAACAAAATTAAGCAATAAAAGTGAATAGATCATATACTTATATACAATAATATTTATTTAATTTCTATGGATTTGTAATTTTTCAATTTACTTAGACTTGAAAAATTGTTTATGTTTATTTTTAAAGTGCAAAGGTCAACTTTTGCAAGTTGTTCTCTGGAGCATTTTCGAACTTACATATAACTACCAGAAGTGGAAAGCATCTTTTCTTATATGGCGCTAATTTTTATTCTTGCAATGAAAGTGGATGGTTTAAGTAAACACACGCCAATGTCTATAAAATCTCTCCAATTTGGGTTTCATATTTAGACACATAGATTGGGAGCCTGACTGAGAAGTTGCAGAAGTGGAGACCTAAGATAGGTGATAAAGCTGAAGTTAAACTAGATAGATGAAATCTCATCAGATGATTGACCTTAAACATATTCCCTTACAACGGCACCTTAGAACTGTCCTGCAAATATGCTGGAATTAAATGTTGTTAGGATATGAAGTTAAGGCCAGTGATCCCAATTTTTAATAAGTTAAGATCAGCAAGTCTTTGGAAATCTTATTTTTTGTTTTTTTTGTTTACTATAAATGGATTCATGCTAATTTCCCATGTCTTTTGATTTCAGACAATTGAGTACAGATATTCTAGACATTGAGTTCTTGAGTGAGCTGGCAACTAATCAAACTCTTTAGCTATGGCAGAATGTCCATCAGTTTGACAGAAACTTCAACACAATACATTTTATTGGATACGAAATACCAATTTTTCCGTGAACATTTATCTGGTTTGAAGAGTGCATGAGAAAGATTAAACAGTATCAGATGACAAGAAATTCTGGTTTTTAAAATGGTTACCTTAGCTGAAGAGAGGTTTTAAATTTAGTGTAAATTTGTGTCTGCTTCTTAAAACAAAAAAAACGTGTGTTAGCTGATTGGTCGATGATTTCTCGCCTGTTCTAACGTGAGTGATTAGTATGACTGGATTATACCAAGGCAATTTAGAACTAAAGATTAACTCTAGACCATGATGCTACAACTTCCCTCGGAACTCACCTCTTAACAGAAAGAAAGTTCCAACAACTACAACCAGCCCGACGGGTACCAACACAAACAAAGCTCGAATTCCATGGTTGAAGCCACCAACAAAACAGATGCCACTGACTGAATCACCATCAACCTGGACACAGGAAGGAAACACTATAATCACTAGAGTGGTACTTTAGAATCATTTGAATGAAAATGTTCTTATAAATTACAATACATTTCACAGAGTTATATTTTCGTTTCTTTTCGAGAATTTACCAATTCTACATTTTAAAAAAAAGATTTCAACAAAATCAAAAATAAAAAAGCTATCCTCTATGTGTTGCACTAGATACTTGAGAAACAAACAGATTCATTTAAGTTAAATTTTATTTTGTATGAAATTTATATAAACTAAGTATTTTTTTAATTTAAAAAAAAGCTTGTTATAAAATTTTAATCACACTAACTAATCAAGTCAACTACAAACCTCAGAAATGGCCAAACAAATTATTGTCAGCACAAGTGGAAAGCACCAGCTGATGAGGTGAAAATAAGCTGTTTTTGATTTGAGAGTATCCCTTGGTGTACCAAGGGCAGTAAACGTCAAGTACCAGGCATATGCCAGCATAACAAACCACGAGATCCCAGCGACAAGGAAGTAGTAAACTATAATGAACACTACAGTGCAGGAGATACTTTCACTGGCTCTGAGGGAGGAAAAAAGTTTTAAAAGTAGACATTTTTTATGCTGTTGAAATCTATATTTAATGTCTACATTGTCTACTATTATATTATAGCACAGCAGGTGTTTAAATTTACATTCTGTTTTAATGGAATATTTTTAAACAGGTCATTTCACAAAATTGCAGTAAAAAGCTACTAACTGTGGCTCTCCTTTTCTAACAGTTCCGTCTTTCCGACAGACAATGTCATTCCTAGCATTGCCTGCAAACTGGGACATCCAACCAATGCTTCCCAAAAAGAAGCAAGCGTTAATAAAGAATAAAATAAGTGCAGGGTATCGGTTGGCATTGTTCCAGTCAATTATGAAGGTCAACTAAAAGAAATTATAAAAATGATTCAATCATGAAAATAACAAGTAAACTGTCACAAAATATCTTATTTAATAAAATCATGGTAAATTATTTAATTTTTGCAACGACAAAAAAAAGTTTAAAGTTTCAAGAGGTGCCTTTGAGTGCCACAGTAGTCCCAGACTGTGGGATTGCCTGACGTTATCAATCTTAGTAGAGGCTTCACATATTTTCACACCAATACAAGCTGAAATTATTTTTAAATTAATAAATTTTTTTCTACAACATATTTTGGAAAATAATGATATGACTGCTATAGCTATAGAAATCTTCTTTGTCTAGATTGAGAGCACAGACTCCCAAACATAGGAAACAATATTGTAGGTGTATAAATCAGAAACACTTGCCACAGTGAAGAGAGTGCATGCCAGACAGATGGAGCCAAACACTGCAACAAAAATATGCACTTCCTGGTGCTGCTCAGCAGTGTACAGTGGATTAACACATGGCACACCACATCCGTTGACATCATTGTACCAACTTTTGGGGTTATCTGTTCGAATTAGGGGAGACTCACATTTGCCAGTTGTGTTGAATGTTAATTTATCATAAGTCTCTTGCTGCGGAGAAACAAATTGTGAAAGTAAAGTAAATACTGAAATCAATTTAAGATATGAAATGTAATTTAGATTTTTCAAACTTTGAAATATCACTTCAGATCTACATTTAAATAGGCTGTTTACTATATATTTGACATTAAAATGGCAGAATCCCAAAAAGACTTTAGATACACTTACCCCACAACCCGAAACAAAGTTTGGGTGGTCACAGCGCAAAAAATCTGGCCAGCCTGTATTGATCTCTTGAACTATCTGGCATGGTTTCCTTGTGCGCTCACACACTTCTTTGCTTGGTAATTCCACTCCATATGTGTCATCGCATCTATTAAAAACAAAAAAATTAACCAATATATAGTAAATCATCAAGAAAGTAGATTAGAATTTATTTTAACTTGGTCATAATATAGGTTCACAATAAACAGCTACATATTTTTATTTTAAGCAGTGGCTATTTTGTAGATGCTGGATTGCATTAGAAAATTTTTTTTTTCAAACAATCACTTTTGGTTTATAAACAGAACATATTTTGAGGACCGCAAGTCTCAAAGACAAAAATATAAAATTATTTGGTGCTATTAGTTGTTGGAAGAGAATGAAAGTTATTTAATATAAATATGATGTTTAAAAAATGACAAGGCCCTTAACTAACAAGCTAGAAAATATTAAATATTTGAAGTCCTTTTTGAATCTTTATCACAATCCATGTTCTATAAATTAATTTACAATGTAAGTTAGAAATCCAAGTTCATATAAATTCATGTTTCTTTCATGCTGGCCCCAAATTTTTTCTGTCTGCAAGTGTTTATTTACTTAAGTTATTGAATCTTATAACATTAGACCAATGTGAATAAAGGATATTAAAATTTTAATACTTATTCAGTTGATAATAGGTAAATGAAAGGATGACTTACTTTGGTAAGTAAACAGAACACAAGAATGGTTGCACCACTGCCCAGCACTGGGGTACATTTCGTAACCCACTCCATAACTTCAACTTGTCATTTACTTCATCCAAAGTTTGAGAATCATTCACCAGAGACATGGACGTTTGTGCAAATGGGACAGCTGTTCCCATGCAGGACTTTATGGCCAGGGGCTGACATGATCCGGTGATGCTGGTATTCCTGTAACACCGCAGGTTCACAGGTACACTGCCCGGAAGCTGTGGTTGGGCCCCGACTGATGCAGTCAAAATGACACTCTGTATGAAAAGCAGGATCTCAACAATGCCAACCATATGAACACTTGACAGCACCATGAACCACAAGCCTCGGTTGCTGTGGCAGAACAGCAAATTCATTGTTGGGAAAATTTGGTCTTTTCATCCAAGCATTCTTGTTTACTATCTTCATGAGACAGGCATAAATTTATTATGCCCCAGCTTCAATTAAGAATGAGTTAGGATTCTTAAAAATTGCCATCTTTTATATAACCAGAAATGTTTTGTATTCTGAACCTTATCTCTGTCGTTACGAGTATAACAATCTCATTCGAATGTTCTTTGCAGGTTGGTCATTATTCATATCTGTAAATAAACAAGAAAAAAAATTAGGTTTTTTAAAAAGAAAAAATAATTTGTACTATTTGTTTAGCAGGATTTCTTGTTTTAGGTCAGAAACAAATTTGGATTTGACAAAAAGTTTCTAAAAAATTTACCCTGGCTATTTAAATATAAAAATATTCATTTGATTGCATTATTTTTATAATGTAATTAAAGACCAATAAATGATTTTAATTTTAAATAATTCTTAAAACCATGAAGCATGTATAAAACAAAGATAGGAAATTAAGTAAATCTATTAAAATGACTGATGAGGTTAATTAAATTAGCAAGGTGATTACAGTACAGCACACACATCTCTGTAACATATAGCTCAGTGGTCCTTAAAATCTAAAACATGAAAAGACAACATTTATTATTTATTTAAAATTTATTAGAAGGGGCCAAGACAAGAGGACTACATTTTTTTGGAATAACTGTATTTTCTTAGCCTATTTAGGGCCTACTCTTTAAAAATAAAACTGTTTAGATTCTTGTAAACATAAGAGCCGTACTTACCCTTCCAATTAAAATATATAAATAACATTAAAGAATCCCAAGACTATTATATATTATTATTGTATATTACTATTATATTATTTTGGGGTAAATCAAGCCATTATGGTTCAGGACATGTTACGGGCCTTCTTGTCTGGATTTTTTAAAAACCTGAAAGTGACTAATCCTTCCCTATATCATGTTTCCCTGTACTGTAATATTTAAAAACTTTTACTAATTTTCCCTGAGATAGACTAGACCCAAATTCAATTGGAGTCTTATATGCTACAAATTTTTAGTTTTGTTAGCCAACACAACACCGAGGTACAAATTACAAACAAATCTAGCAGATGTGAAATTATTAGAATTTAGAGGCATGTCATCATACTGGTAGGCTAAATTTTATAACTTATCTTTGAAGGACTAAGCAGCCATCCATAAATGCTATTTACCTATTCCCCTCCCCCCACATCTTCACAAAATTGAGTAACACTCATTCTTAAACATCATTACAAATAGATGTATAAAGCTTGCACCCCCTAGCTCCCTAGATGTGTGAATGAGTGATGTTATTTATAGATGGCCCCTAATGTAACAAAGAGTCTAAAGCAGACTAGACTATGCTGTTTGTTTCTGGCTCTCATCACTTGACTTAGACATATTAGCTGCTCATAATTAGGCCTACATCTCATTTACATGAGACATGATGAGCTAATATGAATCATTATAAATGTTCTAATACTAAAGAAGTCAAGTCTAAGCATCATAATTATTATAAAACAAGTCTTTATTGATTGCCAGACGATAATGTCAAAAAAATGTCATTGCATTGCAGTTGGCTAGACTATGACTATGACATTGCCATTTGCTGAATCATTGGTATTTGGCATTTGGCTGGCTGGAATCAACTCTAGATGCAAGCTGCCTATAATATATCTATAACTTCTTACTGCTGATTAGGCCTACTTCACAACTCCAGCAACCAGTGTCAACAGAGAAAAAATACTAATCACGAACTAATGACTAATACTATACATATTAAAGGCAGATTAGAGATAAGCATTTAGCATTAAAGTTTTAAAGCTACCCTAACACTAACTGGCCTAAGCATTAATGCCAATGAAACCTTCACCTACAACACCTATTTTTCTAGGAATGAAAATGAAGCACAGTATTATGACAATTATGTTATTTAGTTTTAGTTTTCGACTTATTAAAGTAGGACTATACTATTATTAATTACTGTGCAATTACAAGATAATAATAATAGTAATTAAATAGGCTAAATTTAAGCCTAACACAATATAAATCTTAATTAAGGCCTAAAATAATTAAAATTCAAAGTATAGAGTATAGACTATAGATAGTCAATAGTCATAGTTACATTCATGAGTATGAGGCATAGGCATTAAATGAGTATCGTCAATAATATATAGTTTATAATATAATATAGTGCTGTGTTTAAGTTTAAGACTAATATAACAATCGGCTAAAATGCAGTTAACTGCGCGGTGCGTTAATTAAATATTTTTACTTGACTTAGACTTCAAAAATTGGAATAAATGAATAGTAACATAAACTCCAAATCTAAGTCTCATTAAAAATTGTAGGCCAAACTAATTTTAATTAACTTTTTAGAAAATAAAAACTAACCCACATTAACTCATCCAAATATAGTAACTACTTTTAATTTTAACTAATTTATAAAATTTATTACGACTAATGAGTAGGCCTATACAACACATGTAGGCCTACGTGTAAGCGTAGATCAAGCACACAAGTAAAAGTTAAGATTCTAAATAAAATAATCTAATTCCAAACAATTACTACTACTACTGCTAGACTATTTTACTAGTCACTAAACTTTAAGACTTAATGACTTAAACCTAGGAGTCTTAGCGTAGTATAGACGAAAAGTTAAAGACTTTCCAAACCTCAATATTAATATTAAATTTGTCCTCGTTTGTTAAGACGATTCCAGATGGATTTTAGTTTCAAATCATTATAGAATTATTTTTTTTTTTGCATCTCGATTCATTAGATCTACAGTCGATGCATGAATAACAACGGTTACACTGGATTCTACACGCCTGCCATTTTTTTCTTTAACTTAAATCTCCCCCCACTGCACATCCTTCCCTTCCCCACTTTTTTTTTTTTTTGCAGGGCTAGCGAAACATCTCACTCCTTTTTTTCTAGCCTGTTTCCCTTTCTGGGTCGCGTGTAGTACTGCCAAATTTACCTAGCGCAGGGGGCGATTTTCAGCGGATGGGGGTGGCCGTAAACGTGTTGTTGCACATCCTTCCCTTCCCCACTTTTTTTTTTTTTTGCAGGGCTAGCGAAACATCTCACTCCTTTATTTCTAGCCTGTTTCCCTTTCTGGGTCGCGTGTAGTACTGCCAAATTTACCTAGCGCAAGGGGCGATTTTCAGCGGATGGGGGTGCGCGTAAACGTGTTGTGTGCTCCTGTCACGGAGCACAACGGAATATCATTATTATTATGATGTTTGGAGTGTGAAAACGCACGCCACCCATTAGACAGAACAGAGGCAGATAAGATCTTGTAACATATATATATACTTTAAATGTTAAAATGAGATTTTTAAAAATTTTTGTTGGCCCATTCTTAGAGTAGGATCCATATGCCATAATTAATAATAGGTGAAAGTTGAAAGGACTCCAGGTCCAAGAGGCCGCAAAGTCGTCAATCCGACCCTATCCCCACCCCATGTCCGTCTGACATGCCACAATGTGAGATGGAGTAAAATTATTACATTTGCTGGCGTGTGAAAACAATAAGGTGGTGGGGTAGAATTAAGTGTGTTTCCCAAACTTAAGGTGGTGGGGTAGAATTAAGTGGTTCCCAAGCCCAACTATAAGGTAGTGGGGTAGAATTCAGTGTACCTCCCAAACTTCTTTGCTCCCCTGGGCATGGGGGCCCGCGGAAATTTTCTCAGGCGGGGGCTTATAGTTCGGATTCCAGAGGCGTAGCGTGGTGGGGGCAGGGGGGACGGATGTCCCCGGGCGACAGCTAGTTAGGGGCGCCAAAATGTGCTTTGATATTATTTTATTGAAAAAGGGGCGCTAAAAATGGATCTTGTCCCCGGGCGCGAAACACCCTCGCTACGCCACTGTCGGATTCATACTGGAAATATCATATACCCGTTATACCGGAAACACAGGCTCATAGGTGGATCTAAAAGCTAATTGAAATGTTTATTTAGTTTTATACAGATGTATTGTAATATAGTAGAAACATTGTCAGCAGAGGCGTAGCGAGGGGTGGCATGGGGGACAGATGTCCCCGGGCACCAGCTAGTTAGGGGCGCCAGCTAGTTAGGGGTGCCAAAATGTGTTTTGATATTATTTTATTAAAGAAAATAATAGGTTTGAGAGTTGAAAAAAAGAAAAAGGGGGCGCTTTAAAATGGATCTTGTCCCCGGACGCGAATCTTGTCCCCGGGCGCATAACACCCTCGCTACGCCTCTGATTGTCAGGCTTATTTTGAAAATGAGTCGTGTGTGTTCCATGCGGTAAAAAAAATAACACAAAACATGTTTCCTGATTAGTGTAATTGTAAAAATGTTCATACAACTGCCAATTTCTGATAGGGTACGTTGCTGCACCCATGCACTGGCTTTTGTGCAAAGGTTTGGGAAACGATGAGGCTATCCTAACGGCTTCTAGCCGGTGCCAGGGCAGCCTTGAAACTCTCGATTAATGTCGAGTCCACGGCGGCATAGTCCAGTTGGTTCCGAGCAATTATTGTGAATGATTGTTTATATTGTACTGTGTTACATCGAGGCACAGTGAAGCATTTACTATTGTTCCGGATGTAAGTTACATTGTAACTGCTCATGGAGTTGTCAGGGGTGAAGTCAGTGTTTATTGACAGTTTGACTCTGATTAAGCGACCTGGTTTCTGTGGGATGAGTTACGTGTTAGCTGGAATTGCCGGCACTAGTCCCGAGACCACTTTATAGAGAAATGTTAGACGGAGCTTTTCTCGTCTGTCTTTGAGGGAGGGGATGTCAAATCTTTTAAAGAGGTCAGTGACGAAACCAGGAATGGTGGATTTGTAGTCACTTGCGATGATGCGCACTACGTTACGTTGTATTCGCTCCATCTTGTCCACGTCTTGCTTTAGGTATGGGTCCCAGATGATCGCACAATAATCTAGTAGCGGACAGACAAGTGGGAGATAGGCATTCCGTTTGCAGGAAGTTGGGCAGTGGCGCAGATTTGGGCAGTGGCGCAGATTTCTTCGAACGAAACCAAGAGTGGAGTTGGCTTTTTTTAATTATTTTATTTATATGCTGTGACCATTTTAGATTATTTGAGAAGAGAATTCCAAGGTATGGATTATTTGATACTAGTTGGAGAATGGTCTTGTTTAGAGAGTACATATAGGTTGATGATTTTTTTTCTTTAGATGCTCATTGTGTAGCATTTGGTTTCGTTAAATTTCATGACCCATTTGTCCGCCCATTTCATAGGGCACTTCAAATCTGCTTGGAGGTGGTTGAGGTCATCGTAGCCGTTTATCTCTCTGTAGACAAGACAGTCATCAGCAAACAGCCTCACTTTAGATTTTACAGTACCAGGGAGGTCGTTTACATGACAGAGAAGTTTCCCAGCACTGTACCCTGCGGAACTCCTGCGTCTACGGTGGCTTTCCCTGATCGGACGCCGTCGACCACCACTTGCATGGTCCTTTGTGTTGGAAAAGTTGTGAGCCAGGAGTGAAGATTGCCCGTAATGCCGTACTGGTGGAGCTTATGTAGAAGAAGGCTGTGTGGAACAGTGTCGAAGGCCTTCGAGAGAAGTCGAGAATTGTCATGTCGACCTGTTTACCTTTGTCTTAGGAGGCCAGGAATGGGTGGAGTGAATAGACATTTATTTAAAGAATTCTAATCAAATTTACAAAATGTTATATTAATTAAATTGTATAACAATTTTTTACGAGATTTTCTCACCTTTTCTTTGCCAACCTGCATAATAAACATAAAATAATTGGTGTTCGACATGTCTATAATAAACAGAAAATAATTGGTTTTTGGTGTGTCTCTGTCTCTATATCTAATATATTGTTTGTTCTTTGGGTAGCCTATCCCTTGCGATCTCATTTACCTCAAAGAATAATCTATGTCGTATAACAGAGTGTCTGTTTACCGGGAAAAGGTGGGGTGGACTAAAATGTGCATAGACTACGAATTCTAATCAAATTTGGCAGAATATTGAAGTTTTTGCTTTGCCACTACTTACTTCCCCTTTACCACTTGATTAACCCCCCCCCCCCCTAAAAAAAATTTGAGTTTTAAAAAAATAGATGTTTAATGTGAAAATGGGGGGGGGGGGGGGAATGATATAATAATTTTAGTTTCTGTGAATTTGTATTATTTTTGAAAAGTCCAAGGTCACGGAATAATTTTTTTTTACATTGAAAATATATTTCGAGGTCAGGCTATAAATCTCTTATATAGGCCTATATTACGCGTGGGCTGCTTCCTAATATACTGCTTCCTAATCAGAGTATTTGGTATTGAGAGTAAATTACAAATAATTCTCAATGTTTGAAAGAAAGTAAGGTTCAATAATGAGTTCAATAGCACGCAAAATATAGGCCTAATTCCCGATAACTACGCTAAATGATATTTTAAAAAAATAATATAGGCCTACCTATAACGCAAATGCTTTTGGCGCGTAATATTTTCTTTTTGGAAAATGAAATCCTCTCAATTTAAGAATGTTGTAACAAATATTTGTTTTAAAAGTGGTTGGGACATCAGAATATTTAATATAGTGTATGGGCGTGCAATAAAAAGTGTGCAGTGACGTATCATGGGGGAAGGCGTGTAGCAAAACTTGGGATTCTTAAATGTGCGTTACTTGAGTTCATGTTTTGTGAAGCAACTTTAATAGATGGGAAGTTCACGCATGACTGCCCCCAATGTTTGGCGGGCTATATCTATTACCATAATAAACCTTCATTAATCCTAACTGTTGGGCCTACTCATTTAGATTAAAGGTATCATAATATTCCACGTATTGTGCAATTCCCTGAAGCCCTTGTACCATGGCGTGGTGTTTTAAACAATTTGGATAGCATATTTAATTTTAATAAATAAGATACTTTCCAGACATGCTCATTTCAAACATTGACAAAAATCGGATAAAGAAATAAAATTGGTTTACTAGATTACCTCCCCTTTTTGCGTCTAACCTTTGAGATGACTTTGCACAGTAAACATAAGGGGCCCATTTCGAGGCCCTTTGTGTATATGTCAGGGCTCAAATTTAGGCAGTTGGGTAATAGGAATTAAAGTTTAAAATATTTGTATATATTTGTAAAATGAAAAATAGTGCATGTGCAATAAATTATTTTGTGTGCTGGCCTTACAGGACATTGACATATGCACATTAAATTGTTTTTTTGTGTGTGCACATGGGCGCCCGCAGAAAACTTTCTGGGGGGGGGGGGGGCAAAAAAAAACGGATTAATTTTCCAGGGGGGGGGGGCAAACAATTTTTAGTAATGTTTTAATGTAGTTTTGATTTACTGTAGCATATTTGTATGGTGAACGAACGGACAGGACATCAGCTTAGTTACTTTCTCTTTATTTTCTCTTTACTTTAATAAATGTTTTGTCTATTTTTGTCTAAAAAATTTTTATCCAATCAATCCAGGGGTGGGGCAAGTGCCCCACCTTGCCCCTACCTGCGGGCGCCCATGTGTGTGCCTACCTCTCATAACATTTGCACAATATAATATTGTTTTTTTTTTGTGCTTGCCTTAAAGGAAATTTGAATACTAAATTGTTTTTTTTTGCTGGCCTTATAGGACATGTACACAGAGAAACAGATGTGACTGAACATTGTCCTCTAGCTCCCAAGGACCTGCTTATAATTGCTTTTTATTTCTGTTTGCAATATAATCCATTAAAAAATGTATATGTAATAAAAGAAACCTACTGTTGCCAAAAAAATGTATATTTAAAGTTATGTAATTGTTACTAACTGAGACTTGTACAAAAAAATACTCACAAGTCTCTGTAAGTAAGGTAACAGAAATTTTTAGAGCTATACTTTTTCACTGAATTTCTTTTTACAAAGTACAAACCTTCATTGGGTACACTACCTTGCATAACATTAAAATTGTAAATCATAATGACTTTTAGTTTAGTCATTTAAACAAAGTCAGTAAAATTATATAAACACTCATTATATAATTTAAAAAACTGTTGATACCATACAAAAGAACAGAAATATTTTATTTGAAGTTTTTTAATTGATTTGTTAAAACTGAATCGCATGTAACATTTTTTTTTTTACACTAAATTATGAATTAAATATGACAAATAGATGAAACATTTTTTTAGCTAGGAACTAAATATCCAGAGGATTAAGTCCAAATTCCAACAATGTCTGTTTATTTTTGGATTGAATTTGAGAGGAATGCTCTTCCCACTTCTGCCTGGCAAGATCAAGTTTTGATATCAAGTTTTCCAGTGCTTCCTGTAGGAAACGAGCAAGAATTGAATAAAAATAGATTGAAACTTTCAAACATAAAATTGATGAATTCTAGCTACCAAAAAAAAAAAAGTTTCTTGACATATCACTGAGTGGATTAAGTAAATAGAAGGAAGATGATATTGACAGGGCTTTAAGTCTAATGCTTTACTGTTGAATTCAGCAACCTTTCAATGATTATGTCCATGGTTGATTTTTCCTCTAGCATCTTGAAAAGACTTACTTTATGACTTATAATTATGTTTTATAATGTAAGTTTACTACACACCCTTAGGACATTTTCATATGCTTTTTCCATGGAATCAATTTTCAGTTTTAGGTCTTTAATTATTGTATCCCTTTCGTCCACCATTTTCTTGCGATCCTCATAACTTTTCTTTAGCTCAGCCTCAGTGGCACCTTCAAAATGAGAATTTTTAAAATGACTCTACACTTTAAAAACATGACACTTTAAATACACGACATCTCTTTTTTTATATATATTGGTATAGAAATAAATCTTTTGAATAACAACAAATAAATGAAATATGTAAAAAATTTTATAGCAAAACTGGTCAATTTAGCCAATAATTTTACTTTTTTTTTTGTTGAATTTCTCAATAGCAGCTAAATATTTGTTCATTTTTTTTTTTAATATTGGAAAAAGGAATATTTATGGGTCAAAATATATTATATTATATAAACAATTTTTTTTTGTTCAAAACATTATTTAATCATTAAAACTAAGAAATGTGGTCAGAAAGGATATGTTTTTAAAAATATTTTACATTTTTTTTTGTGTGGGATTCTTCAAACAGGTTTAATGGTTCCAGAATAAGCTACAGTTTATGTTTTTTATGCTTGCCATCTGTTAATGATTTGACTTATACTTATAAAATGTGGGAGAATGTTGACAAATTTACTTAGTTGTGACCGTGTGCGCCCAAGCTCTGTCTCCAGCTGATGTATTCTCAGGCCCATCTCTGTTTGCATTGTCTTGTACTGCCTTGTCATATCTGTTGAACATAATGTATATGTATTTAATACAAGCAAAATTTATTCTACATTACTGACAATTCAATTTTACAGTAGAGAGTAAAAGATTAAAAAAACGGACTTGACTTTCAAGGCTAGTTTAATATTTTAAAAAAGAGAATAAACTGTCATAAATATCTTTGTCTTAGGTTTTAGCAATGGAAAGGGATAAAATGCATTTTATGCACATGAAGTTAAAACTTCTTAACAACTACTTGAATGAACCACCATGCTATATCTTAAGAATACAGTTTCCATTTTTACATATAATGTCAATGAAGCTTACTTAGCCCCTGTCTGTGGAGTTAGATCAAAGCAAAGGGCGCCTCAAAACTTTGATAATCAAGATCTAGGCATTTTAACAAAACTATTTGTATCAAAATTTAATTTATTATAAAAAAATTAATGTCATTGATCATTTGAGTTTTTAATAATTGGATCTCTTCTGATCACAATAATTACTTAATACAGAACCTATTACACAGGCAATGGACCATATAGTTCTATAAACCTTTTAAAAATTTAACTTAAACAATCATTTCATTTTTACCTGCATTAATTGATTTTTGATCTTCTTTCTGGAGTTCCAAAATCTTCTCTGTTTCCTCCATCTTTTTAGAAATGTCAGCACTTGCAGATTTAGCTCTTCTTGTGAACTCCCTACGTATAGCTGTTCAGATGAAGAATTTAAAAAAAATTTCAAACTTTACCAGTATTTTAACAAAAAAATTTTATTTTCTAAATATGAAGCTGAAATAAAATAATAGCTCAAGTTTTTATTTCACTATGATCACGTATAGGAAAATGAAACTATATTTTTTTATTAAACCGAAGTATAACAATGTCAATCATTCACAAAATTTCTTTGATGGGATAAGAGCACAGTCTCTGTTTACAAAATGCTACACATTTTTTGTTCCTCATATATTAGTATTTGTTGCTCCTATATTAGTATTTGTTGAAAAAGGTTACTAAACGGTGAGTAGGAAGAGGGTAAAAGTTGGATAAATTTGTTCCTGAATCTACCCATGAATAATGATCTTTCCATATTATGCTATACATCATTAATAGAGAGAAAATACAAATATTACCAAGATGATCTTTGAGAGCAGCAATTTCATCCATTGTCCGCTTATAAGAGTCCTCAAGCTCCAGTTGGGCATCTAAGATGAAAGATTACTGTTATTAAATTTAAAAAAAGGTCTTATTGATGCATAAGTCTACGGCTTCAGAATTTGATAGTCACAATTTTATGCACTTAAAAATATTCTTACTCTTATATTGATAAAAAATTGTTACAGTAAATATAATGTGAGCAATTTTTGTAATAAACAAACTTAAAAACAGTTTTCTAAATCTTATATTCAAATTTAAAGAGTAAAAGTAAAAACACAGTACACAAAATCTTGTACAAAAATCAAAGAAATAATTATAAAATATGAAAATCCAAATTTGTTGCTAGTGAATTATTTTATTGTTTGAATCAGTTTTTTATTTCTTTTTACATTACAAGCACACCCCACCCCCACTCTCTTTCTTTCCCCTTTTTAATCCTGTTTATAATACAAAAGCTGAGTCCATGGGTGCCCACAGGGGGGGGGGGCACTTGCCCAGATTGATTGAATAAAAATTTTTTAGACAAAAATAGAAAAAAAATGTATTAAAGTAAAGAGAAAATAAAGAGAAAGTAACTAAGTTGATGTCCTGTCCATTCGTTCACCATACAAATACGCTACAGTAAATTAAAACTACATTAAAACATTACTACACATTTTTTGCCCCCCCTTGGAAATTTAATAGATTTTTTTTTGTAAAGTAACTAAGTTGATGTCCTGTCCATTCGTTCACCATACAAATACGCTACAGTAAATTAAAACTACATTAAAACATTACTACACATTTTTTGCCCACCCTTGGAAATTTAATAGATTTTTTTTTGCGCCCCCATGGAAAGTTAATCGATTTTTTTGCCCCCCCCCCACCCCCCTAGAAAGTTTTCTGCGGGTGCCCATGGCTGAGTCTGTTAGTTTTACACTTTTAAATAGACCAGATTATAATAATAATAATAATAATAAGACGTCTTATATCATTATTGGGTATGTATTTACTATCAGTTAGTATATTATTAGCTTCTTCTTATGGTCTGGATCTATTTCTGTGAGACAAGATCAGAAAAACAGTTTAGTTACAGAAGAAAGATGTAAAATGTCTAATTCTTAGTTTACTATTTTAATATTAGGTTCAGGAATCATTAAGTGAGAGAAAAATTCCATTAAATTTTCAAAAACTTTATGTTTTCATAAAGTTTGTGTGATAGAATAATTATCGTCCTTTAGGTGGAGAGTAAGGGGAGAAGCTGTGGCATGTGTTGTGAAAGGACTACAATGTAATGTGCTTTGGCCAAAATACTCTTGAATTATATTAAAAATAGATAAAATATAGTATACAGTTTTGAGATTGAGTTCAATAGCATATATATATATCTATTGAGGGTCATAATCTTTCGGTTGTTGATCATTTTATATACCTGGGATCCAATATTTCTAGTTCTCTCTCCGTTGATGAAGAGATCAATATCAGGATTGCAAAAGCAGCAGCAACTATGGCTAAACTGAATAAGCGGGTGTGGAATAATCTCAATCTAACTGATAAAACAAAAATAAGTGTCTATCAGGCATGCATGCTTAGCACGCTCCTATATGGTAGCGAAGTGTGGACCACATATACCAGACAGGAGCGGAAACTCAACAGCTACCATCAAAGATGCCTGCGTCGCATTTTGCGCATTCATTGGCAGGACAGGGTGCCTAACATGGAGGTCTTGGAACATGCACATATGTTTAGCATATTCTCCTTTCTTATCAAGAGACGGCTTTGCTGGTTAGGTCATGTACGGAGAATGGAGGAAGGACGTATCCCAAAGATTCTGCTGTATGGAGAGTTGGTAGAGGGGGACAAGACATATTGGAAGACCGCGCCTGAGATTTATTGATGTTTGCAAACGAAGCATGAGGGAAGCCAATATTGAAACAAACGAATGGGAGTTCATTGCCGATCATCGCTCCAACTGGCGTACAGCAGTGTTTGGAGGAGTGAAAAAGGCAGAAGTTACTCGAAACGAGGCCGTCGAATCAAAAAGAACAATTCGAAAATCAAGAATTTACCGGGTTTCAACATTCTTCTGCGAGAGATGCGGCCGTGATTGCCATTCAAGGATTGGCCTAGTGAGCCACTCGTCAAAGTGTAGAACTATATAGCTACTCCATCTTCTCACGTAGACGGAAGGATGCCATAATAATAATAATATATATATATATATGTGTGTGTATATATATATTATATATATATATAGGTCTAATTTAAACAATTTAGGGTGGGGGTGGAGATCCCCTTCCACCAAAAATAAACAAAATTGAATTTTTATTGATAATCTGCCATTTTTGTTTTTTCTGTGAGGGAATGGTGGAAAACGAATGACCACCCTGGGCCTGAGCTTAGCAAACTTGAACTGCTACTCCATCACTTATAATTTATTTAAACTTTAAAAAAACAATCCAATGATTATCAACTATCAGTCTATCCGTGAATAAGATATCAATAATTTGAAACATTCCTTGTGGATTCTAACAATTCGATCATATTTAATTTCAGTATGAATATTAGAATAAGTTATCAATAGGGCTTGTCATTTCTCAGACTGGAAAATGTCATACCACTACTATTTTTAGAACGTCGGACAAATATTGCTTAAAACATGGCAGCTAATAGGAATAGTGCGTTTCAGCATATCGTTTGGACGATCCTTGTATCTAGAGTCACTGTTACACGTGCCGTACGCACAATGAAGTCCCATTTCACAAAATATCAGTAAAAATAATTGTGTAAAATATTTTGTAAAATATAGTTGCAAACAAGTTTTGATTTAGGTTAATGGTCACTTCACTAACATAGTAGTACTGAACAGTGTTGTCATTTTGATCGACCTGAGTACCCGGATGATTACAGCTGTCCTATAATAATAGATTTACACCATTAAATGACAAGCCCTATTATTGTAAAACTTAGTAGTATGATCAACAAATCAATGATACTGCATAGACTAAAATTATTTTTGGTGAAATGACTTGACTTACTTAAATTTAAGAATGCGAAGTGGGCCTAACTAAATACTAGATTTTATGAATGAATAATAGTAGGCCTAAATTATTATTATTACTTTAGACTAAAGTTTAAGTTTAGTCCGTTTAGACCTAGTTATTTCGTGGGTCTAAGGGCAATAATGCTTCTTGATTTGACTAAATTAAATTATTAGCCTAAATGTAAATATAATATTTTCTGACATCTGTTTTTTATGCCTATTTTTTAGTATTAGTATAGACTATAGACAGTATTAGTACTATTAATTAAGTCATTAAGTATTATAATTATAATAATTATAAACTAACGGATAACTTGTCGCATTATGATTGGTTTTCCCTATTAGTTGTCATATAAATCTGAATTTAAAATATTACCATCCTTCTTTTTTCCTTTTTTCTTTCCTTTACCCTTTTTCTTTTTGGGAGGCATGATAAAGCAGTTGAAGATTAAGTTGATTTGCAGCTTTGCTTGAAAGTTACGTTGCTACAGAAGCTTTTAGTGGTAGGTTAAATCACAGCTACGCACAAACAAGTTTTCCAATATGAAATGTTAAATTAAAAATTATAATAATATGTAAACATAATTATTTATACAAATAAAAAATTATTTATTGGTATTATTTACATATAAATATATAAATGTTTTTTATTGAGTTGAAATGTTAACATTCACTTCAGTGCACCATTTGTTTTGTTTAAGAGCTTCCGGATTAGTTTTAATACTCTTAAGTTTTACCTTTTTGGGTTTACTAGATAATTTGAAGAAGTATCCCAATGCACTTTTATAAAAATATCGCTACTTGATAAAAACTATTAAAAAAAATGTCTTTGCATAAAGGAGCCACGAATCAGGGACGCAAAAAGGTCCAGGTAATGTATTTGTTTTCCGTGTAGCCTAAGCCTAAAAAAATAATAATAAAGCTTATTAACTTACTTACTAAGACTAAGACAGACTAGGCCTGGCCTGGAGTAGACTCAGTACTGAGAGTACCGGTAGTTAAATTGTAGTGATGAGTAGTCATTGTGAGTCCTGGTCTAGAACTAGAATAAATAATAGTAAATAAAATAGACTAGAGTAGAATTAATAGTAGTTAATAGTATTAATAGTAGTACAGTGGTTGATCGAATCACTATTGGTGTTACAAAAACTATTGTTACAAAACTATGATGTGTTGTAATTAATTAATGTAATGACCCAATTGTTAAAAGTATGGGTGTTTGCAATGTTTAATGTTTGTATTAACAAACAAAGGTCCCTTTCCTCTACGTTAGATTAGTACTGCTAGTATGGTTATGTCTAGGGTACGATTAATTTCCTGATGAAGTATTCTACACTAATCCTACTTCACACTCACTCTATCATTCAAAGAAAACTCTCACTAGCTCTCACTTGCAAGTCTATTAATACTTAAACTATACTAATAACACAAGAGTGGTTCAGCCCACAAATAAATATTTAATTATAAGAAAACAGAACTATCAGCATACAAATTACATATACTATACACATAAACAGGATAACAAGATACTGCCCAATAT